CACACACACACACACACACACACACACACACACACACACACACACACACACACGGGAAGCAGCCCGTGACAGCTGACTAACTCCCAGGTACCTATTTACTGCTAGGCAACAGGGGCATAGGGTGAAAGAAACTCTGCCCATAGTTTCTCGCCGGCGCCCGGGATCGAACCCGGGACCACAAGATCAGGATCAAATGTACAGCGTGCTTTCCGCTCGGCCGGCCGGCCCCTTGTGCGTGCGCATGCGCGTGCGTGTGTGTGTATGTGATTGTGCTCGCGTGTATAAGGCAGGCAGCAAGACACACGCCCCGAGAGGAGGGGGGGGGAGGAGAACAGGGCATTACTCTCAAAAGAATTATTCATGTTTCCCCAGTGACAAGCCTGGCTTGTGGCGCGAGGCGGCGCCATATATATACGTCCCCGTGGCCAGGTGTACATGAGAGCACACAGCCCCCAGACAGAGAGAAAGACTGACTGAATGGGTAAGCAAGCATAGCATGAGTATATATAGATACTGGCATGAGTATATATAGATAATGGCATGAGGAGGAGCCGGTAGTGTCCCTCACAACCCGACGAAGGAGATAGAGGAGAGGGAGAGAGAGAATAAATAGGGAAGCGGTCAGGTTAAGAGATAATGCAAGAGATGAGAAGCAGAGAGACGGGGAGAGAGGAAGGCCACTACAAGAGGCAGCAGAGCAGCGAGGCAGGAGCTTGTCACACGCAGACAATACCACAGGTGTGTGTGTGTCTGTCTGCCGGGATATAGATACATAGTCACGCCGGTCATAATAAATCATGCTTCGGGAAGCACGATATACTAATATTATTTGAGCCGAGGTTGAGGGCAAGCACAAGACGCCGCAGTCCACTCAGCCCCCACAACACTGCAGGTGAGGAACAGCGGGACACACAACATGGGTGGAGGGGCTGAGGATGGTATACTCAAGTGGTTGTGGAGAAATGCACAGGGCACAAGATCTGCCTTTGAAGACCATATGTCTGGTGAGGTAGCAGGAGGCCAGGTGTGTGTGTGTGGTAGGAGGCCAGGGGTGTTGTGTGGTAGCAGGAGGCCAGGGGGGTGTGTGGGGTAGCAGAGATGGTCAGAGAAATGGCTACTGGAGTTCAACACGAGCAAATGTGAAATTATGGAAATGGTATTAGGTGATAGCTGCCCGCCAAACACACACCGAAACTACGACGATGGTACAACGTTCGAACAAGTTTTAACACCTAACCAGTTATAACAACCAATATAACAAGTTGTAACAACGTTCTAATACGTCAAACACGTTAAGCCAAGATGTAACGGCTTTATTACAAGTTGTAACAAGCGGAAAATAGAGACAGTTTCGGTTTGTGTTTCCAGGGAGGCGACCAATGGGACAGTACACAATGAAGGGGGACTCCCTACCTGTGACGACGCGAGAAAGAGACCTGGGCGTGGACGTAACACCTAATCTAACTACTGAAGCACATATAAATAGGATAACGACAGCAGAGTACTCTACACTGGCAAAAGTTAGAACAAGGCAAGTCCAAGAGCTAATAGCTCGATTCTGCAGAAACAAATAGTGAATATATATAGTAAACACGCACGCGCGCACACACACACACAAAGCGTTATATGACAGTGCTGGGAAGACGGGACACCACAAGCGTAGTTACAGGATGAGAGCTACACTCAAGTAATTACACTTAGGTAATTACACACACACAAGGTGGCAAGGTGCTCCAGTGGATAAGGGAGTACCTAAGCAATAGGAAGTAGAGAGTTACGGTGAGTGGTGAGACCTCAGATTGGCGTGAAGTCACCAGTGGAGTCCCACAGGGCTCTGTACTCGGTCCTATCTTGTTTCTGATACATGTAAGTGATCTCCCGGAGGGTATAGATTCATTTCTCTCAATGTTTGCGGACGATGCCAAAATTATGAGAAGGTTTAAGACAGATGAGGACTGCTTGAGTCTTCAAGAAGACCTAGACAAGCTGAAGGAATGGTCAAACAAATGGTTGTTAGAGTTTAACCCAACCAAATGTAATGTAATGAAGATAGGTGTGGGGAGCAGGAGGCCACATACAAGGTACCATCTGGGAGATGAAATACTTCAACAGTCAGAGAAAGAAAAAGACTTGGGGGTTGATATCACGCCAGACCTGTCTCCTGCAGCCCATATCAAGAGGATAACATCAGCGGCATATGCCAGGCTGGCCAACATAAGAACGGCATTCAGAAACTTCTGAAAGGAATCATTCAGAACTTTGTATACCACATATGTCAGGCCAATCCTGGAGTATGCAGCCCCAGCATGGAGTCCATATCTAGTCAAGAATAAGACCAAACTGGAAAAGGTTGAAAGGTTTGCCACCAGACTAGTACCCGAGCTGAGAGGAATGAGCTACGAGGAGAGACTACGGGAATTAAACCTCACTTCGCTGGAAGACAGAAGAGTTAGGGGGAACATGATCACCACATTCAAGATTCTCAAGGGAATTGATGTGGTAGATAAAGACAGGCTATTTAACATAAGAGGCACACGCACTAGGGGTAGGGCTAGGGCTAGAACTGGATAAGCACCTCCAAAGGATACCTGATCAACCAGGCTGTGACTCGTACGTCAGGCTGCGAGCAGCCGCGTCCAACAGCCTGGTTGATCAGTCCGGCAACCAGGAGGCCTGGTCGACGACCAGGCCGCGGGGACGCTAAGCCCCGGAAGCACCTCAAGGTAAGGGGACACAGGTGAAAACAGTGCCCAAATGAGCCACAAAGATATTAGAAAGAACTTTTTTAGTGCCAGAGTGGTTGACAAATGGAATGCATTAGGCAGTGATGTGGTGGAGGCTGACTCCATACACAGTTTCAAGTGTAGATATGATAGAGCCCAATAGGCTCAGGAACCTGTACACCTGTTGATTGACGGTTGAGAGGCGGGACCAAAGAGCCAGAGCTCAACCCCCGCAAGCACAACTAGGTGAGTACACACACACACACACACACACACACTGTGTGGGGAGGGGGTCTGGTAGCTGAGTGGACAGCGCACAGGACTCAGAATTCTGTGGCCCGGGTTCGATTCCCGGACCAAGTAGAAACAAATGGGCAAAGTGTCTTTCACCCTGTTGCCCCTGTTACCTAGCAGTAAATAGGTACCTGGGAGTTAGACAGCTGTTACGGAGCTGCTTCCTGGATGTGTATGTATGTGGAGAAAAATAATAAAAAATTAGTAACAGTTGATTGACAATTGAGAGGCGGGCCGGAAGAGTAGAGCTCAACCCCCGCAAGCACAACTAGGCGAATAGACTCCCACCCACCTACCCACCCACACCTCTACACCCACACACACACACACCCACACCACACCCACATACCCGGTGGCGCTGCCCTCTTTAAAAGGTCGAGGCCAACATTTGTCACACCACAACGCAAAATCAATACTGCCCCGCTATACAGAGAAACACCAGATGGATTTATACCGGGTTCCAGCGTCCCGTAGTCACGCTTCTATCCCTGCTACAGGTCCCCACCACACGGGAACACCGTCAGCGGCCTCTCATCCTCCACCCCCGCCAGCGCTAACACTACCGAAACACTAGGTAAAAAAAGAGTAACACTACTCAGAAAAAAAAAATTTCAATTGAAATCTTTTTTTTTTTCAAAACACACACAAACACACACCGAAACTACGACGTTGGTACAACGTTCGAACAAGTTTTAACACCTCCTAACCAGTTATAACAACCAATATAGCAAGTTGTAACACCGTTCTAATACGTCATAAACACGTTAAGCCAAGATGTAACAACTTTATTACAAGTTGTAACAAACGGAAAATAGAGACAGTTTCGGTTTGTGTTTCCAGGGAAGCGCTCAGTACAGGATAATAAGCGCTCAGTAAAAATATTAGAAACAAAGCATTGGTGGGTCTCTCCCGTAGGTAACTGTCGGGGAATAAACCTTTAGATCAAGAAACGGTTCAGTGACTTCTGGGTGGATATTTAGTGAGGGAGCCGGGGCCCCCCAGACAGAGCTGGGGTGTTACGCCCTCTCCTGGGACGGGCCACACTGCTGCGCCCCTTCCCTATCCCTGTCACCTATTCTCTGGTCAAGAGAGGAGCCCCACAAGTAACACTGAACTGCCCTCCATATTGCTGGAGCACCTGAAGCTCTCTGATACCACCACTAGCAACTTACAGGTGTCTGATACCACCACTAGCAACTTACAGGTGTCTGATACCACCACTAGCAACTTACAGGTGTCTGATACCACCACTAGCAACTTACAGGTGTCTGATACCACCACTAGCAACTTACAGGTGTCTGATACCACCACTAGCAACTTACAGGTGTCTGATACCACCACTAGCAACTTACAGGTGTTTGATACCACCACTAGCAACTTATAGGTGTCTGATGCTACCACCAGCAGCTTACAGGTGTCTGATACCACCACTAGCAACTTACAGGTGTCTGATACCACCACTAGCAACTTACAGGTGTCTGATACCACCACTAGCAACTTACAGGTGTTTGATACCACCACTAGCAACTTACAGGTGTCTGATGCTACCACCAGCAGCTTACAGGTGTCTGATGCCTCAGAAAGCATATTATCTGTCAGAGGCTTATGGAAAGTAATAGTATGAAACACAGAGCTCCGGGGTGTAGAGATACGTGAAGATGGGTGTCAGAATACATGCTGAAATTCGACACGTCCCTGGAAGAAGAACCGCATCAACCAGGCTGTAGTGAATATGTGGGACCTGCGGGCCGCTCCAAGCAACAGCCTGTTGGACCAAGTTATCCCAGGTCCAGCCTGGCCCCAAGCCGGACTTGGGGAGTAGAGGAACTCACCAGAACTCTCTCCAGGTATGCTTCATGTTCGTCGAGGTGCCGTATGTTGAGCAGAATAGGAAGTCGTGTTGGGGAGCAAAGTTTACCATAGACACAGTGAGGAGGGAATGCGTGAGGAGGGGGAAGAGAGAGAAGGGCGAGGAACACTGACCTTGATGAAGTGCTTGGCGCGAGTAAGGAGGCCCAGCGTGGTGTGTCTGGAGCCGTCGGGTCCCAGCGGCACCATCTCCTTCAGCGTCTCCAGGCACGTCCGCAGGTGCGCCCGCCTGCACGAAGGTAAACACACGTTAGCTCCCTCGCACATCTCTGGCTCACTCATACTTCTACATCACTTAACTCATGGTAGCATGAGTAAACTCATGCGCCTCATACCTAGCGCCACCCGCGCACCTTAGCTCTCTTTTGGAGGTTTAAGTTGCATAACCCCCAACCCCCTTAGGCCAGAAGACCACACAAATAACATCACATGAAACCAGAAGGCATGGCAGGATGTGCAGAATACTCCCGTTGAAGAGCAAAGGTGCAATAGGTACCCTGAGAGAGAACTTATTTATTAAGAACACACTTTGTACAAAACTTTTTCCGACTACGAATAATTGTAAGATAAGATCATTATGAGGAGAAAGCGCTAAGCCAATATGATTATATAGCCCTTGGAAGGGATACGAGGACATGGTGCTGGGATATAGGGACGGGCTGAAAGAACGGTGCCTACCACTTGGACCACTGGGGATCGAACACCGTCCCTGTAAGATCGTTGTAAGAGTTGGGTAATCGCTGCACCGTGAGTAAAATTTCACTTCTCAATAGAATATGTTATGGGTTAAGAAGCCAAAATTTCTACTTGGAAGGTGAAGAACGTAATTAAAACCATTCACTCACAAATACGAAAACAAAACTCTTGCTAATTAAAAAAAAAATAAATCAGATGAAATGTGATGAAAGAATATGAACAATAAGAAAGACTCACTATAACATCTACAAAGAGTTATGAAGACTTAAATTATATAAGTGGCGATACATCACTCTCCTGCCTCCACCTCATACATGTGTAAATCAGTATTACCTCGTAAGTCACGGCTCCAGAGGAATGGTCACCGTGAAGGGAGAATGTATTCAGTACAACTTTAACGACGAGGCCACTGACTGCGTTAGAATAAGCAGGAGACTCCGTCATGCCTTCTTGGGAAGCTCTGGTAGTCACGCTGACCCCAAGACCAATACCTAAGACCATATAGGTCACCGGAGAAACATTCCACAAGTGTAGAGATGCGAGTTCAATGCCAGCACGGGGGCGAGATCAATTAGGTGCTCACCAAGTTGTACTCATCTAGTTGTGCTTGCGGGAGTTGAGCTTTGACACTCTGGTCCCGCCTCTCAACTATCAATCTCTATCTCAATCTATCAATCAATCAACTAGCAGTCTCCGTGGTGTAGTGGTAAGACCTCGCCTGGCGTTCCGCGAGCGCTATGTCATGGGTTCGTATCCTGGCCGGGGAGGATTTACTGGGCGCAATTCCTAACTGTAGCCTCTCTTTAACTCAACAGTAAAATGTGTACTTGGATGAAAAAACGATTCTTCGCGGCAGGGGATCGTATTCCAGGGACCATAGGATTAAGGACTTGCCCGAAACGCTACGCGTACTAGTGGCTGTACAAGAATGTAACAACTATATATCTCAAAAAAAAAAAAAAAAAAAAAAAATCAACTGGTGTAGAGATTCTGGAGTCTACTGTGCTCTATCATATCTACATTTGAAACTGTGTATGGAGTCAGCCTCCACCACATCACTTCTTAATGCATTCCATTTGTTAACTACTCTAGAAAGAAGGTTTTCAATGTCAATGTCTCTGTGGCTCATGTCAGAGACACCAAAGGAATGCCAAGACAAGAAGGGAAAGCAGACAACTCTACATAAGAAGACATGTGGTTACTGAACTACTCAAACGTCTTCAAATATTTCAAGAAAGTAAAAAGCAAAACGGGGAAATTTAAAGAAATAGATAAATACCTTCAGCTTTCACATTAATCTTTAAGAAATGCTAAAAGGAACATCAAGGTGTTAAAAATGTACAGAAAATCAAAACACCTTCTAACATTTCCCAAACCGTCAAACACAATATCTCCCGACATCAACACACCGCACCGCTGGGCGCGTGAGACCCAATGCTCACTATCATAATGATTGATGAAGATTAAGCCACCCAAAAGGTGGCACGGGCATGAATAGCCCGTAAGCGGTGGCCCTTTTGAGCCATTGCCAGTATCAAGAGCTGATACTGGAAATCTGTGGAGGTGCGACCGCACTATCAGAATGAAGAACCCTGATTACTTAAAAGTTAATTCAACCCATCCCATGTGAAAGACACAACCACACTTCCTACAGCTCTCGACGGCTAAATTATGCCAATGATCAAATTGGCTACAATTAAAGGTTCAGTAATCACTAGGAGAAAGCACTAAGCCAGGTACTTCCGGTAATTATAAGGCAAAATCGGTAACCAATATAACTGTATGGCACTTGGAGGGGACATGATGACAAGGAGCTGGGATAAGACGGAGAGAAGGAATGTAACCCCAACCTCGGGATCGAATGTCGACCTGCAAGAGGCAAGATTCGTCGCTTTGCCGTCCAAAGTGGTTGGGAAGGTTAGGCTGTGTTCCTTACTGCAGTCTTCTTGACCCCTATTATACTCGGTAAAGAAAACCATCCCACGCTATTATCATCTCAAGGTACTAAAATTAGCACACATTATATTCGTATAAATCATACCAATTACAATTCAGTATCAATATTATCTTCCAGCGGGAAATGGGAAACAACAACAGGATGATCAACAACGATTAACAATGATCAAATGAGAACCTTAAACATAATACAGGATACAAAACACAATCAAATCTGCCCATAGTAGTCAACATGTAAAGGATTTTGGGAATAATGATGACTGACGACCTAACGTTAAGGGACCATAACCAAGCAAATATTGCGTCAGTCAGAAAAATGATAGGATGGATTATGAACACTCAAATCCAGGGATCCCTTCACAATGGTTGTACTATACAAATAACTTTTGTTGTCCCGTCTTAAGTACTGCTCAGTACTCACTTTCGCTCTCAGAGCAGGAGAGATTGCTGAAATAGAGGGAATACAGAGAACATATACGGCATACATAGACGAGATAAAGCACCTAAACTATTGGGATCGTCTCAAAGCTCTCCAAATGTACTCAGTAGAAATGTACTCACTTGATCTCTCTCCCGAAAGGAGACGGGAGAGATATCAAATAATATACACGTGGAAAATTCTGGATGGCCAGGTCTCAAATCTACACATTATAATAACATACTGGAGTGAACGATATGGAAGAAAATGCAGAATAAAACCAGTGAAGAGCAGAGGTGCCATAGGTACAATCAGAGAACACTGTATAAACATCAGAGGTCCGCGGTTGTTCAACGTCCTCCCAGCGACTATAAGAAATATTGCCGGAACAACCGTGGACATCTTCAAGAGAAAACTAGATAGTCTCCTCCAACCAGTGCCGGACCAACCGGGCTGTGGTGGGTATGTGGGCCTGCGGGCCGCTCCAAGCAACAGCCTGGTGGACCAAACTCTCACAAGTCGAGCCTGGCCTCGGGCCGGGCTTGGGGAGTAGAACAACTCCCAGAACCCCATCAAGCAGGTATGACCAGGGGGAACTAGCGTACGGCAACGTCAGTGTCACTAGCAAGCAGCTCCTGGTTTCAAGAGGGCGGGGGTTGGGTGATGTACAGACAACGGTCCGGGCACGCTCACGTCCAGCTCAGGTCAGTTACCTGTCACAACGCCCGCCCCAAACCGTTTGGCTCATCTTTGACCTTCCACACCCAGCACGACCACCTCACTGCTGCCCCCCCACCTCCCTCCCTCTCTCCACCTGCCATCCTACAACAGAGGGTTCACACTACCTGCAGGGGTACGAAGGGGAAGGTGGTACCCCCTGCACCTCGCGGAACACGTAGGTGTCGGAGCCTACGGTCGAAGCTACGGGTCCCGACCTGTTGGAGTTGGTTAAGGAGCAGAGAATGAGTGTGACAGGGGCGGCACGTCATCTAACCAACAATTAGCCTCGTCGCAATAAAATACACCAATAAAATATCCGGCGCCCATTCATCAATTAACACAAAAATGTAATTCCCCGAATTGAGCAAATGAATCGCTGCCAAGAGGAGAGGAAGCCGCAGGAGAACTGTAGGTTACCGAACGCCCTTATTCCCAGGATACACAAAGTCCTTATCTCCTCCTCGGGGGCGCCTGGCAAGGGCTCTTGAGCTGCGGGAGAAGGAAAGTACCTTAAGTCTGGGCAATAAAACTAAGATGAAATCAGACGGCCGTAGTTCCGTTATTCTATTTCTGCCGCTCCAAACATTTCGGGGTATTATATAGAGGAGGGGCGGCGAGGGTGCCCCCAAGGGAGCCGCCTATCACCGGCGGCTGCGCTCCTAACTGGTACAGACGAGGACTAATCAGCCAATCAGAGCAACCACTCAGGTTCCCGACGAACAATCGGTTACTCGCAATTGGTTCGTTGAGACTCGTACACCTGGTCCATGGCGGAGTGGTTCAGGTCATAACGATGTGCGCAGGAACCGCCCTGCATCCCTGCCTTCCCTCCGCCAACACTCCAGCCTCTTGGCTAACTCCTAGCTCTAATGGGCAGTTCCCAGAGTCCCCTTATCTCCTCATCCACCTCACCTCCCTATCTTCCTCACCTTCTCCCCCCACAATTCCTCCACCCATCTCTGTACTCAAGTGCTATATAGGCGTGCTAGCTTAGTGCTTTATCCTGATAATTACTTTAACCTCTGTACTTCCTTCTCTCCATCCACACGAATTCCACTTGTAATCATCCCTACTCCTCTCCCTTCCTCCCTCTCTCCCTCCCTCCCTGCTCCTCTCCTTCCCTTCCTCCCTCCCTGCTCCTCTCCTTCCCTCTCTCCCTCCCTGCTTCTCTTCCCTCCCTTCCTGCCTCTCCCCTTGCTCCTCTTCTCCTATCTCCTCTTCTCTCCTTTCCTATCCCTCCCTCCAACAACCTCCGTTCGCGTCATCTATTGTTTCAGCGCCGCCTTCTCCTGCTGCCACTTGGCCAGGCTCCTCACCAGTACCTCCTGCTGCTGCCCCTCCCGTCCCCTCCCTCTGCACCTTCGTCGTCCTCCGGTGAGGTGGCCTTGACTGGAGGCAGCGCCAAGGGCCCCTCGGTGAAATATTCAGGCTGCCTCAGC